CATGTCCCGAAGGACGTCGTTTACGAGGGCTTGAAACACGGCAGGCACGTTGACCAATCCGAACGGGAGGACGCGATATTCAAAGTGCCCAAGGGGCGTGTTAAACGCGGTCTTCCACTCGTCCCCTTCCTTTATACGCACGAGATGGTAGGCGTTGCGAAGGTCGAGTTTAGTAAACACCCTTTCTCCCTGCAAGAGTTCAAAGGCCGAGGACATCAGTGGCAAGGGATAACGGTTCTTGACAGTGATGTCGTTCAGCCCCCTATAGTCAATGCAGGGACGCAAGGAACCGTCCTTCTTTTTGACAAAGAAAAACCCCGCGCCAGCGGGCGACGAAGAGGGGACGATGGTACCGTTACGTAGTGACTCGGAGAGATAATTCTCTAATGCCTCGCGTTCGGGAGCCGACAAGGAATAAAGTCGTCCCCGAGGTGGCATAGACCCTGGGAGGGGATCGAAACTGCAATCGTACGGTCTATGAGAGGGAAGGGAAGTCGCCCGGGACCGACTGAACACCTCCCGCAAGTTGTGATACTCCTCCGGTACCCCCGTCAAATCACCCGGCCCCTCCTGTGAGATAGAGACAGAAGACACAGGAGGGATAGCAGAGGTTAAACACTTGGTATGACATGACAACTTCCACGACAAAACAGAACAATTAGACCAGTTGATCTGCGGGTTATGCTGAACCAGCCAAGGGTGACCTAAGACAACCGGACAAAAGGGCGAACAAAAAACTAAAAAAGAAATAGTCTCTCTATGATTCCCCGAGACGGTGAGTGAGAGGGGAATAGTCTTTCTCTGAATTCTAGGAAGAGAACTTCCATCTAAGGCAAAGAGAGGGGTGGAGTCTTTTAAGTCTATTAGGGGAATACCTTGGTCCATGGCAAGTTTCCCTCCGCCCCCGAGTCCACCAGGGCGGAACAGGTGATGGAGGAACTAGACCATAGGAGAGAGACGGGTAGAGTGGTACACGACCTCGACGGAGAGTCCCTGGAAGATGCGCTCGCCAGTAGCCCTCCTCCTACTGGCGAGCGTTGGCTTTTACCGGGCACGTGTTGATGAAGTGGTTGGGCGCTGCACAATACATGCACAGACGGTTGATTATCCTCCGCTCCCGTTCCTTGGCCGAGACGCGTAACCCGCCCAGCTGCATTGCCTCCTGCTCCAGACCAGCGGGGGGCGGCAAAGTGACGGCGGGTGGTGAGGACCGCCGAGAGAGCTCCGGACCACGAGCACGGCGGCGCAGATCGAAGCGCTTCTCCAAACGGATGGCCAGGTCAACGAGAGGGTCCAGGCGAGTAGGTGCTTCACGAGCGTATATCTCCTCCCTTAACTCAGAGTTGAGCCCCTCCAGGAAGCGGGCTACTAACGCCGGTTCGTTCCATACACAGGTGGTCGCTAGAGTATAAAACTCGATAGCAAAATCCGCCACCGAGCGTCTGCCCTCACGCAGAGAGGATAGAATGCGGGATGCCTCAACCCCGTGGGTAGAGCAATCAAAGACACGGATCATCTCGGTCTTGAACAGGAAGAAGTCGTTCACACAGTCCGCCTCTGCCTCCCAGTTGGCAGTTCCCCACTCCCGGGCTCGTCCGGCCAGCAGAGACATAACATAGGCGACTCGGGCTCGTTCAGAAGCATAGGTCGAAGGCTGAAGGGAGAAGACTACCTCGCACTGGGTCAGGAAGGCGCGACACTGCGCGGGCTCACCCGAGTAGCAGGGGGGATTGTTGACCCGGGGCTCCGGTGACTCGCACTGGTCTCGAGGCACGGGACTCTCATGACGTAACTGGCGAAGCTGGGTAGAGAGTGATGAAACTTGGGAGGCGAGAGATTCGACGGCTTGTCTCGCGGCTGAAAGCTCCTCCTCATGCCGTCCCAGCATGGATCCCTGAAACTCCACCGCCGACTGAAAGTGGTTGCTGCTCGCTGAGTCCATCTTGGCCAGATTATTCGGTGATGATGAGAGACAGACAGAGGACCCAAAAGCGTTTGCAGCAAGGAGTCAGTTTAATGAACGGAAAGAAGTCCACAGGTAAGGACTGTTCACAAATAATATAATGTTCAACAAAGGTCGACCCGCAGAGCGGGTAACAGGCGAGACTCTCTTCTTAGGCTGACCAGCGAAAGCGGCCGGTGAAATCAGACACCGAAGAACCACAGCAGCCCTGGTGAGCACGGGAGGAAGATCCCTCGGCTAGTGGAGGTGAGCTGGCATCAGACAAGGGCTCTGAAACAAGCACAGCAGAGTAGCGACAAAGTAGTGGTGGAACAAACTCACAGTAGCACAGTGCTGGACAGGACAGGACTGGACAGGACTCGTACGAGAGGTAGGTAACATACACAGACTACACGTCTTGGCTGAAAGAATAATCTGGCAAAGAGGTAGAGAACAGCAGTGGTAAAAGAAGCCGACAGAATTAGAGAAAAGGGAGAGCAGGTGTGAAAGAATGATTGGAAAACGAGCATAAAGCAGCCGCAGCTGTAGATAATGAAACAGCGGAGAAGGCGAGAACAGAAGCGAGAACACATGACAACCAACAGAGGGAGACAAGGAACCGAGAAAAGGGACCAGGATCATGACAGTGATATGTGAAACAAATGAACTCTAAGTGTATTTTCGACATATTCTCAAAACATGTTCAGCTCACGACATTGAACCGAGCCTAAACGGCAAATGACCTGCGCTGGTTAAGTAACTTGTCTAGTTTACTAGTCCTTGATAGTTAAAAGCTATCTAAAACGGTGGACCTTACAATGAGGTCAACAGGGTTAGAGAACTAGCTAGTGAGGAGAGTAGTGTGAAACCACCTCATGAAACAACCCACAAGAATCACCCACAAGAATCAACAAGTAGATGACTAAATTGAGAAAAATGCCATCTGGGCTGTTGCCTGGTCAAACAAGCACCCGGTCGTAGGTCTAGGGCAACCAAGGGACCTACTTCGAAAAATCGGCTACAGGGAATGAGCGAAGATGTGGTTTGTTGATGCCAAACACCTGCGGTCATTTGTCACAAGGAACGTAAGGACACTTTGGAAGGATGGAAGCCTCGAATTACTTGTCGAGCAACTTAACAAGGTTCAGTAGAACCCATAGTAGAACCCTACTAGGTCATAGTAGATGAACTAGGTCATATGAACCCTGGGTCATAGTAGAACCCTCAAGGACTTGACAACTCCACATAACTTTTTTCCCCCAATTACTCATGGTTTATTTACTTAATAATTAGGTCTTAGGTCAATGGGTTTCCTACCTTTTTTAATTTAAGTCAACTGATCACTTTTACAATGTATGTCCTTTTAATTAGTTATGTACTTGTGTTCAGGTTCTATTGCAAAACATTTACTGCTATTGAGGTGTGATTCGGGTTAAGTCAAGTTACCTTTATTGATATAACGCTTTTTACAATACAGATTTTTTAAAAGCAGCTTTACAGTGATAAAAGGAAAATAATGCAACAAAGTTTGTTTGCAACAAAATAGTTATTTCTCAATTGTAAATTTTAGGGACCAGTTGGTTTGTGGCGTGACAACGATTAATCTTCAGCGAACCAGTGAGATTTTAAAAACAAACATTGGGTCTCATTTATTAATAATTGCGTATGCTATTCATATTTATAGGCACATTTGATCTTCTCAAACTTTCTGTCTTATTCACACGCACAATAATTTGTTCTTAACCTCGGCTGTCTCATTATGCATTCTTCAGTGATCTTGCGTCCTTTTGTTCTCGCTCTATGTCATCATCAACCGCCGAAGTTCAATTCCAATTCTCAAGAAACCGAGTATATTGCATGCATAAAAAGTACCCGGATGTGTTCTTAATATTGAGGATGCATCGAATGCAGACTTGGGCTGCGTTCCACTCCACTTTTAGACACACACTTCCCTAAGCACTTCTCCTCGGGGAAATCCCCGACCCATTTTGAAATGCTTCCACTTTATTAATTGGACAAGTGCAGTTTATCAGGACAGTCCCTTGACCCCTTGATTTTGATAGAGGAGACTTCAAATGTACACTTCAGGCAGCTCCATATACCATAATGCAACGTGATTGTTACATCACCACATATCACGCTTAATTTACCAACACTACAAACTCTATGACATATTAATCATTATTTTTTTAAATTTAAAACAACCCAAACACACCTATATAGAATGCTGCATTAAACCAATTTGTAAGGGGAAACTAAAGGAAATAATATATCAACTCCATAGATAGAGGATTCAAGTTTAGGCTTAGGATGTTCCAATTCAGCTAATTGCCAGGGTTCCACCAGTAGTGGACACTCGTGCAACATAAGTAATGACATACATCCGAGTACATGAGACTGAGGGAAGTTAGCGAGGGAAGAGCATAAAAAAAACAATTGGAATGAAGCCTAATCGAACTGTCGGAAATCTCAGAAGATGCTGCAAGCGGTCGACATACGGATCCCTGTAAACTTTAAAATTCTCGTTCTCACTTAAGAGATTCCTGTGCAAATATGTGACGGTTAGTGAAAGTTAGTGAGAGTAGTGAAATCTGTTTGTTTTGCTTAATTTTTGCTTACTTCAGTATCCGATTTTCAGCAGCGCAAATAATTTTCAAAATCATTCTTTTTAATGATTTTCAGTTTTGTTCAAGGTAATTAAAGCAACAGTTTTTCAACAATGGAAGGATATGTAAAAAGTATGGTATTTGGGGTAAAAAGTGTATCTGCTATCGGGGCAAGAGGCTAATTAATAAAGCTGATAATAAATGTCTGACTTTTCCATTTTCCATTGTTATATTAACATATTTGAATGACGGAATATTTACTGATAAAAATTAATTCTTTTATTTATCAAAATAAACAGAAAATAGTACAAACTTTGCTAAAGTGATTGTTTTGAACAAGTAATAATTTAGATATTAATAATTATTAAAACCATATTTTCCCCTCACCACCTCATATATATATATACAGAATAAATAAATATATATATATATATATATATATATATAGCACATACTTTTAGTGGCCTTATGAATATTTACACATGAAAACTGAAACATGAAAATATTAAAATATATTTCTAGATTATGTGTATGTGTGTGTGTGTGTGTGCGTGTGTGTGTGTACGTGTGATTAGATTTCAGTTGTTCCAAATTTTTTTGTAAATTTAGAATACATTTTAATGAACGTTTTTAATAAATCATGATTTGTTCATGAAAACGTTTATACACAGATTTCACACACAAACTCGTGCGTACGCATGCTTAGTGAATGAGACCCATCATCAGTCAGACAAGTGATGCTCAAATTTCTTGATGGCTTTAACAATAAACTGACCACTGACCTTTAGCTCAGTTTAATATTTAAGGATACTTTAAACATTGAATAACTAAATTTAATAATTACCCATACATTGTTTGAGGATTAGTAGTTACAGTATTATTCATACACCTCCTGTTTTAAATTCAATTATCATGTTTCTTCCACTTTCAGTCCTTTTTTCGGCTGTTCTTTGGGCTCCTCCACTTGATTTTGTGCATCTTTCCTTCCTCTCAGGTAAGCATTCACAGTCTCCAGTAAATCAATACAGTGATTGATGAGAAGAGCCAGCCAAGCCAGGCCAAAGAATATCCAGGCTGCCATCATACAACTGTACCACTCTGGGTAGACTATCGCTGGGTTGTGATCTGGCAGGAGAAACAAAGTAGAAAAGATGTTGTGATCAGGTTAGGGCAAAATTCAGAAATTTAAATCAAATTGAATGTAAGTTGTAATGAAAGGACAATGACTCAAATTTAGCAAGAAAACAAAACATATCGTTGTAGTTGTACAACCAGTTATGCATTTTTCTAAATTATCTTATTAAATACTGTTATCCAAATAAAACTGCCATAAAATATTTATAGTTTATATAGGGATTGAATCACTGATAAAGCAGTGATTAACAGTTTAGTACCCCCAACTTCACACATTTTGTACATCTCCCCAATAAAACACACTCAATTCAACTCATCATCTTGTTATAGGGACTTTAACACTTGAAATGATTGTGTCAGATGTGAGAGACATTCAAGATGGGTGCTGTTGGCGAACTACAGGACCAGGTTTGGGAACCACTGTATTAAAGTTAGTCTTAAATTTTAATCTCTGTATTGAAGACTTTCTTGGAGTTCCATCATACATAAAATATAAATAAATGTTAAATTATTAAATATAATGTGTATAATGCATTCTTCAATGCTATGCATACAACAATAATAAGAATTTCCTCCTAGAAAACATAAATTTAACATTTGAATTACACTTCTGCATCTTATTTGCTACCTCAATTCAAAATTCAAATTCAGGAAAATTCAAATTCGATTTTGAATGACACACAACCAAATAAGTGATGTCACTTCCTGAATATAGGGCTACCAGAATAAATCACAAAATATAATTACATTTGAGGTAAAATAAGGCTTTATTTAATGATAGAAACAACTGCTATTATGTAGATAAAAAGTCCATAACCTGATAACAATGATGTGAGCACGAGCATCAGAAAGTATTTGTTATTTAGTTCAGATACATGTTAACAATTAAAAGTCTGTTTGTTAATTTTTGTATGTGTGGTCTCCTACCTGCAACATAATCTCCAAATCCAATAGTGCTAAGTGTTATAAAGCAGTAGTAAATGGCTTCAGCGTAACTCCATCCCTCATATTCTTTGAAGAGCAACATAGGAACCAAAAAGTACAGTAACGCTGAACTTACGAAGGATATACTGTGAATGGATATTCTGACACATTTCTGTGGGAAAGAACATGGGCACAGTCAAGGGTAAACGTCAAACATTTTAATTTTCAATTTTAATTCCTTATTTTAAACAAATATCTATTAGATATTTAATATCTAATTAAATTAGATTTGATTAAAGGAGTTAAATTCTCACCCCTCTATCAATTTTTTTCTCCAGAAAATTGCAAAAATTCCTCTCAATAGCCAACATGTATTTTCCAACTCTATTTAAGATCACTACATTAAGGGGAATGCCAAAAAGAGCAAACAACACACAGAAGATCTGACCAGCCGTTGTCAGTGGAATGATGTTACCATAGCCTGCAGAAAGAATTGAAGAAAAACACTTTGTGTAACCTTTACCCAAATTAATGAATGCCACAAAACAAACCAAATTAAACTGGACTGTCAAATTCAAATGTTATGTTTCCTAATTCCTCACCAATAGTTGTGACCACTGTCGCCGCAAACACAGATGAGCTGGTAAATTTCCAGAAGCCATCTGCAGTGTCATTACTGTCGGGACTCAAGCCACTCACGGACGCTGCTTTTATCATCTTTGAGACAGTGATGACAAGCAATGAATGAATGAAATGGCTATAGGAAACAGTAACTGAGACTGTCAATTCATTAAATAATACAAATAAAATAAAATAAAATAACCATCTAAATAATCTCAATAATAGACCAACAAGGAGTCCATGAATATATTTCCATTCAGTTATACTTTGTTTTAAACAGGACATTCAGTTATAATGCAGTTTTAACAAAAATAAACTGGTAGCCCTGTTTATTTTCTGCACAGGTTTTGTTTCAAAGACCTTGTTAAAAAGCAATAATTATTTTGAATGAATACAAGTGATTCCTTAAGTTTGCACCAAAATAGTTTTTTTTTCCTTTTACAAATGAACCATAGAAGCCACACATCCATTTCAAATGATGTAAAAAGTTGTCCAAGCACTTGCTCACTTGCTCATATCTACACATCATTATTGCTGTTAATGTGGAATAAGACAAGCACTGTAACTAAAAGTCATGGACCATGCAGTTAAGGAAAATCTAGTCTCATACCTCTGCTAGTTCTCGGAGGCCATTCTGACCCATACAAGGGTACTTCTCGAGTAGTTTAATTCTTTTCTCCTTGAGAAGATCAATCTGTTGCAACACATACCATCCTTCTAGTTTCCAGAAGACCAGCCCTCCAACAAGGACATAGGCAACATAAAAAACTCCAAGGAACAGAATAGAAGGTAATCGAGTTAGGCTAAGAAACTGACATAACTTTCCTGAAAACACGGGGAGCATGGTGCCTTTGGTTGCCTGGCTCACCTGTCTGCCAATGCAGCTGCAGGTTAGTGCTACTGTGGATTTACTCAGTTTATGTGACAGGCAAATCACCCCACTGTGTAATGAATGTCAGAATCAGACCTTATGACCTGGCATGCAAATGTTGATTGAAGGAGCACAGAAGACACAGGGAGTGAGGAGTTAAAGAGAGAGGTTGAAGTACAATCAGTAATCTCTGACAATGGCTAAAAATCATGGCACTACTGTGAATAAGGCTGAATGAGTTGGTTCAAATTAATTTTGATCAAGTACAGATTTTGAAAAAAAAAATATGCTTGTTCAACTTAAACATTTAATTTGAAATTATTAGGATGACTGGCTTTTAATTTCATTCCCCCTATATAGAGACAATCGAGAAAAAACTTGGTTATTTATTCATTTAGCAGACACTTTAATCCAAAGCAAAATACAAAGAAATACAATTCATCTCAAGGAGGCAATAAACACACAAAATGCTAACAAAGATTCAAACATTATTCAGACTAGTACAAGCTAGGAGGATTTAATAGTGAAACAATAATATATATATTTTTAAATTATTATTTTTTTTTAGAGTCAGCAGGATACCATTAAGTGCTCATGGAAGAAATGCGTTTTGAGCTGTTTCTTGAATATTGTCAGGGATTCGGCTGATGGTGTTGTGCACTGCAGTGCAAACCTGTATAACCGTGCTGTCTTTGCAATGTGGTCTCTGTCACCTGGTCTTCAAAAAGTACCCACGATTTTTGGACGATCTGGATGGAATTGTTGTTGATAAACCTACCGGGAAATTATGCTGAATAGTCGGCTGAGAAGACAAGTAGTTCTGTAGATTGAGTTCCAGGTGATGGTCTTTTATCCATGCTGAGATGTTCACCAGGCAAGCCAAGATCCACACAGCTACCGTCAGATCATCTGCCTGTAATGAAAAGTAGCATAGCAATGCACTGTAGGAGAATCTATATACATCTGTAAAATAGGTCCCAGTAATGCATACAAATATGTGGAGAAGAGAAGGGGGCCAAAGCACTGACCTTTAAGGTATCCCTGTGACTATTTAACAAATGGCATAGATAAATCAGATCATTTGAACAAATACTGTTGCCCCCGACTGAGCCTGGGTTCTCCCAAGATTATTTTCTCCATTCAGTCACCTGATGGAGTTTTGGTTCCTTGGCTTTTGGCTTGCTTAGTTGGGGACATTTAATATTCAACAATATTATTGATCTGTGTTTTATTATTTTCATGTTATCAATGTGAAGCTGCTTTGATACAATCTGTACTGTATTCCATCTTGAAAAGACCAGGTGTAAATGCCCCCCGAAACGCATTTGAGACAGATTTAAATCCGATCGCTCAAACCACTTCAGGAGGTGGTCTGGGCCCCATTCCAAAGTGTAAATGCATCTGGTTTTTGAAACCACATATGTGAGTATATGTTACACCATGTCCTAACTACACCCGGCACGGCACCTTGACACGCGATAAAAGGTATCTTTTCCATGTTAATCAGAGTTTTTGTCCTAACCAGACGCGACGGCGACACGTGAAGTTTCTATTTTAGAAACGGTTCCTATTTCTACGATGTCGCGGCTGACAATGAAGAAATTACACTGGTTATGAGTACACATTATTTATTTTTAGTTAAAAATAGGTCACTGTGCCACAAGATAACGGATAATTTACCTCAGATTTTGAAATCATATAATATAGCGTTCAAAATGAATTCTATGCAAACATACAACTACTTCATAACAAAATGAGTGTTTTTAATTAATATAATTAATTAATGTTTATAACATAATTAATGAATGTTTTTATTTTTAATAATGTCATTTCTTGATTTGATTATGTCCTTTACCCATTTCCAATGCGAGGAACCTGATGATCAGGTCGTGCTTCCCCAGAGACTTACCTTCAACTGCTTCTTGATATGCGGCAATGGCAGCCACATACACCTTCAGGGTGGAGGGAGACAGCCTTCGCTCCAACCCTTCTTGCAGGAAGGAAAGCACAACACTGATCGAGCATCTCTGGGGGTCTTCTCGGCGAGAAGAACACCAGTTGACAAAGAGGTTCCACTTCAACGCATAGACGTGTCTCGTGGACGACGCTCTAGCGGAAGTGATAGTAGCCGCCACCGCAGGTGGCAGGGTACTTAAACGTGCCTCGACCCGTCCAGGAGCCACACATGTAGCCTCCAGAGATCGGGGCGAGGGTGCCACAGGGTGCCCCGTCCCTGAGAAAGGAGATCCTTTCTCAGAGGAATTGGCCAAGGAGGTGCTGTCACGAGGAGTATCAGTTCAGAGAACCAGGTCTTGGTGGGCCAGTATGGGGCGACCAAAATGACCTGCTCCTCGTCCTCCTTGATCTTGCACAGGGTACGTGCGAGAAGGCTCACTGGGGGAAACGCATATTTGCGTGGGCCCCGCGGCCAGCTGTGCGCCAGTGCGTCTGTGCCGAGCGTGCCCTCGGTCAGAGAGTAATACAGGGCGCAATGGGATGAGTCGTGGGAGGCAACAGATCTATTTGTGTGTCCCCAAACTGGTCCCATATCAGCTGGACCGACTGGAGATGGAGTCGCCATTCGCCAGAGACTGGACGGAGCCGTGACAGCTCGTTGGCTGCACAGTTCCGAACTCCTGGAATGTGTATAGCACGAAGGGACCTCAGGTGCTTCTGACTCCATAAAATGAGGTGGCGTGCGAGTTGCGACATACGACGAGAGCGTAGACCCCCCTGGTGGCAGATGTATGCTACTGTCGCGGTATTGTCTGAACGGACTAGTACGTGTTGACCCTTGAGCAACGCATGGAAGCGGTGCAGGGCAAGGCGTACTGCCAGCAACTCGAAGCAATTGACATGCATTAGGCGCTGGGGTCCTGTCCAGGAGCCTGCGGCTGCATGCCCATTGCACATGGCGCCCCAACCCATGGCAGAGGCATCTGTGGAGACAACAACATGCCTGGAAACTCGCTCTAGGGGAACACCGGCCCGTAGAAGCTGAGGTTCCTCCACGGGGTGAAGGTCTGACGGCAGGTCGGAGTCACTGGAACTCTGAGCGTACCGTGATGCCATGCCCACCTCGGAATTCGATCGCAAAGCCACAGCTGAAGCGGTCTCATATGAAGCAATCCGAGTGGCGTCGCCGCGGCTGCGGATGCCATATGCCCCAGGAGCCTCTGAAAAAGTTTCAGTGGGACCGCACTCAAACTGTCGAAGACAAGTCAGCAGTGAGTGTGCGCGCTCGCTCGTAAGCTGCGCAGATGGCGACCGAGTCTATCTCCATACCGAGAAAAGAGATCCTCTGCACGGGGCAAAGTTTGCTCTTCTCCCAGTTGACCCGCAGGCCAGATGGGCTAGGTGCCGGAGCACAAGGTCTCTGTGTTCGCAGACCTGATCTCTAGAGTGTACTAGGATTAGCCAGTCATCGAGGTAATTCAGGACGCGAACCCCTTGTTCGCGAAGGGGAACAAGGGCCGCCTCGACAATCTTCATAAAGACGCAAGGAGACAGAGCCAGCCCGAATGGGAGAACCGCGTACTGATATGCCTGCCCCTCGAAAGCAAACCGAAGAAACGGTCTGTGTCGAGGTAAAATGGAGACATGAAAGTAGGCGTCCTTCAGGTCTATCGCTGCAAACCAATCCTGGGGCCGAACACATTCGAAAATGCGTTTGGCCGTGAGCATCTTGAACGGCAGCCGGTGAAGGGTGCGGCTCAAAACGCACAGGTCCAGGATCGGTCGTAACCCACCGGTTTTCTTGGGAACAATGAAGTAGGGGCTTTAAAACCTTGACTTCATCTCGGCTGGAAGGACGGTCTCGATTGCACCCTTTGCCAGTAGGGTGGCAACCTCCGCTCTCATGATCGGGGCATTGCCACCGACCACCGTAAAGCGGACTCCCCTGAAGCGGGGAGGAGACCGTGCGAACTGAATCTCATAGCCGAGCCTGATAGTTCGGTCGACCCAACGGGACAGATTGGGGAGCTCTAACCAAGCCCCCAAAAACTGATCCAGTGGAATCATCAGAGCCACAGGCGTCCCCCCAGCGGGGCGGAGAGATCGGCACAGGCGAGGGTGGCATAGCGACCCTGCACGCGTGCATCAAGCTCCGCGCCCTGACAGAGGAGACCAGGGAAGGACCAGCGTTCCACGGGGGTCTGCTCTGCCAGGGGTCTGGCGATAGAGGGGGATTAGAGTGGTGTGGTCCGGAGACGACGCGCACTGCCATCCGCACCCTCAGAGAGAGAAGGGGACGAGAATGGCGAGGCACAGGGGCGTTGCACACTGCCGTCCTGCTCTGTGTGCTCAGGGATGGAATGCAGCTCTTTGGAGAAAAGATTCTCCCCCAGCCCTCCACCGGGGGAAGGAGTGGGCCTGCAACCACTCCCTGAAAGAACTGCAAGTCATAACTGAGCTGCCCGTAACGGGAGCGCCGCATAGCCTGGCGTACAGCGGGGCTGCAGGGCTGGTACGGGCAGGGGCACCTCCCTGCGACCACCTCCACGGCACGGGCCGGTGCTGCTGGGGCCGGGCGGGAGGGGGCGGAAGTTGCAGTAGGGCGCATTTGGCGGCAAGCGGACTTAGGCGTCTGAGCCGGCGGCTGGTTGGCAGCAGAAAGCCGCAGGGTCAGACAAAAAGCCACAGTCCACTTCTGGGCGGACGAGAACTGTTGGGCAGAGTTCACGACTGCGCCGCCGAAGAGGCCAGCCTGGGATATGGGGAAGTTGAGGAAACTGGTTCACTCAGCCTCACGCACATCAACCAGGTTAAGCCAAAAATGTCTGACCATACATGTGGACATCACCTGACTCAGGGAGCATGCGGTCACCTTCGTCGCTCGTAGAGCAAGGTCGTTGACGGCAGGCAGCTCAAGGATGAGCCCTGAATCAGCCCTATCCTTGTGCATGTCACTGAATGACCCATAAGGATGACAATAACATACAGTGAGGTGGCAGCCTGCCCCGCAGCTCTATAGGTCTGGAGTAGACAAGAACCTACAGGCATTGGAGGGGGTTTTAGGGTTGCCACGCCAGGTGGAGGCGCTGTGGGGACACATAAGTGTTCAGAACACTCCACAGGGGGAACCACAGTGTACCCTAGACGAGGGTTCCCTACGAGGGCAGGGAAGGCGGAAGAGGCCGCTGAGTGATCGTGAAAAGTCAAAGGAGACTTCCATGATCTCACGGCCTCTTCATGCACATCCGGGAAGAAAGGATTTGGATTTGCCACCCCCAAAAACCAATCATCAGCCTTAAGTGCTCGGGACATGGCAGAATTTTCCACACAAACCCGACACTCATGGCAGCCCGGGAAAGCATAGCTGTGAACCCTGAATCAAACTCGCTATGCTAGCACATCCGAGGACAGCAGCACAGACAAGCCATCTCCAGAGGACTCCAGCTCACCTTGTGATGCGGCGATAAACATGATTTCATCAGCTGGGGGACCGAATGAGAACGGACCTCACTCTGGACCACGTGGGTTGCAACGTGAAAGACGGGGTGTGGACCGAGGAATTTTCGTCGGTTTAGTTCCAGACCTGATGTCTTTTGGTCACCCTGGCCACCAGCCGAAGTATTATCTCACGTGAAGAAAAATAGTTCGGGTTGTGGATGAGGGGACTCTCACTCTATTGAGCTCACTGAGTCTCAACTGTTATATATTGCGATGATCACGTCCCCATTGAGAGAACGTGACACACCCACGAGCACTGTCTGAGCGTGATCAAAGCCTAAACACGTCAAACAGCGCTCGCGCCCATCAGCTGACTCTATCAGAATACCACACTCAGGAATACACGGGCAGATCGTCTTTAAAAAGAC